CACACACACACACACACACACACACACACACACACACACACACACACTATAGGTAATAAATGAGAAATCACTTTGTAAAAACATAAGTTATTCATTATTATTTTCATTGTTATGCTGTATAATGATTAAGCAGGGCCAATAGATACTTAATGGCAATTACTTTAATTGACTAGCAAAGAGGTGGTAGAATAGGAAGCAATATGATTCAGCTTTTTGTAATAACAATTAGAGAAACAGACAATTAGAGCATCAAAGTAGTAATCAGGAAGTACAAGAAGAATGACAATGGGGAACTTAGCCAACATTTCCCTTCAAACAATTTAAAAATAATGCATCAAATTGAATTCTGGAGCATCAGAGCCAACACAAGGTTAGAGTGAAACACTTTTCCAGTCCAGGACAACTTAGGAGGTCAGAAGGAAAGGTCTATGACACTAAGGTGGAGGCTGGTCAGTAGTGTAGTGCAGAAGCAACAACGGGACGGTTCCTGAAGCTATATACTGTGCTAGGAGAAGGAACATCAGTAACAGTGTAGTCCTGACTACAGAGTTGGGTTGCAAATTCAATGTGGAATGAGACTGGGACCTAAGCTATGCATCACGGCAAGTCCAGGGTCACAGATATGGTATGAACTGGGCCTGAGGCTTTGTACGGGGCAAGGAGCAAGAATAAAATTGAAAGAACTGAGCCAAATTTATAAGAATATAACTCATTCCCCAACTGACAAATGGTCAAAGGTTATGAACAGACAGTTTTCAGATGAAGAAATCAAAGCTGTCTATAGTCATATGAAAAAAGGCTCAGTCTCAATCACTATTAGTTTGAGAAATGCCAATGAAAACAACTCTGAGATACTACCTCACACTTATCGGATTGGCTAATATGACAGAAAAAGAAAATGATCAGTGTTGGAAAGGATGTGGGGAAACTGGGACACGAATGTATTGTTGGTGGAATTGTGAACTGATGCCACCATTCCAGAGATCAGTTTGGGACTATGCCCAAAGGCAAAGTGTAAATACTTTTGAACCAGCAATACCAATTGAGGTTTGTATCCCAAAGAGGTAAAGAAAGGGATGGGGCAGAGGGAAGAGGAAGGACCCATCTGTACAAAAATATTTATAGCAGCTTTTTTTGTGATAGTCAAGAATTGGAAATTGTGAGCATGTCCATCAATTGGGACATGAACAAGTTGGGGCATATGATTATAATGGAACATTATTGTGTTATAAGAAATGATAAGCAAGATGATTTCAGAAAAATAAGGTAAGACTTACATGAACTGATGCAAAGTAAAGTGAGCAAGGCCAGGAGAACATTGTACACAGTAATATCAATATTATACGATGAACGACATACAACGATCCAAGACAATCCCAAAGGACTCATGATGAAAAATGTTATTTACATCCAGAGAAAGAACTGATGGTATCTGAATATGGACCAAAGACTACTATCTTTCATTTTTCTTCTTTCATTTTTTTTTTTTGGTTTGAGTTTTCTCCCACAAAATGACTAACATGGAAATACGTTTTACATGATTGCACAGGTATAACCTATTGCTTATCTTCTCCAAGAGGGTAGAGGAGAGGGAGGGAAGGATAATTAGGAACTCAAAACTGAAAAAAATGAATATTAAAAATTGTTTTTAAATGTAATTGGGAAAAAATAAAATATTATTTTCTTTCAAAGGGGCACAGATAAGCAGAGCAGTCTTGTTAGTATATAACATAGATTTTAAACTATACATAATACAATAGTTCACAATCGAATATACAATTTTCTTTTTCTTGTCTTTGTATACTGAAATGTTTATGGTGTTGATTTTTTTCTTAAGTTCATAATTTTAAAAAAAAATTTAATTAAATAAAATTTTTGGGATTAAAAAAAGGACAAAAACAATAATTTTACTGAAGTTATTAATAACATTAACTTTTATTTGACTTTATAAGTAGTATAGTACATACTATATATGGTAATATATAGTAATAGTAGTTTGCCATGTCACTATAAAAAAAAAAATAAATTGAGAGGCAGTTGTGTGGCTGTAACCACAAAAATGGATCAGGCTTTCATACTACAGAAATGGGTTGAGTGAGGTCTGCAGTTGAGCAACCAGAAAAAGGAGCTCAAACCTAGGGTAATCCTGTAGTTTCAAAACTCTGAACCTGCAGAGCCTCCTGGTTAGGCAACAGGACTTTGAATCAGTAGCAATCTGCTGTAACTTCTATCAAGGGCAAGACTGAAATTGTGTTGTCCAGCCAAAATTACAATCCAGAAATTGCAAAACTCAGACCGGGAGGGCAGTGATCAGACTTTGCCCTAAATAAGATCACTTAGGGAATGTAGTTCCCTGGACAGTCATCCCTGAGATCCAAGAAAAACATATTACTCTATACCCAGGGGATACAAACCAGGACTAAATATTCCCTCCAGAAGTGTGCAGAACCTAGCCTTAAGAAAAATTGCAATTCATCAAAGAAGGCTAAAGAGCTATTAAAAAGAGTCAGAAACTCTCCAAAAAAGCTTGGCCACAAAGTCAACTAGAATTTGTGGAAGAAATGAAGTGAGATTTTTTTAATCACATGATAAATGCATTGAGAAATCTAGAGGAAAAACCTGAAGAAAGAAGTATTAGAGGAAAGAGTAGGAAGGAGAATTTAAAGCACAGCAGAAGAGGTGTAAAAACTTTCCCAAGTGTCAGAATGAAAATTACAATGAACAAAATAGAAGTTAATGACCCCATGACTCAAGAAACATTAAAATAAAGTCAAAAGTGAAAAAACTGAAAAAAAATACAAACAGGTAAACAGTAAAGAATCCAACAATCTTCAAAATGTCTGAGAACTATGATTAAAAAAAAAAAAGGCCCAGATTTCAAGAAATCAAGAATGGAAACTGCATAGACCAATGAGAACCAGAGAGCAAAGTAGAAAGAATCCAGCAGGAGGCAGAGCCAAGATGACAGAGTAAAGGCAGGGAGCCTGAGCGCTCCTCCAAACACCTTAAAAAAATGACTCTAAACAAATTCTAGTGCAGCAGAACCCACAAAACGGTGGTGTGAAACAAATCTCCAGCCCCAGACAACTTGGAAAGTTGGCAGGAAAGATCTGTTGCACCAGGGTGTGAGAGGAGCACAGCCTGACACGGACCACACCAGCGCAGTCCTGGCCCCAGCAAACCAGGAGCAGACCTTGCGAGCCACTGAATCAGTAGTGGTAGCAGCTGCTTCCAGAGCTCTCAGCCCAGAGATGGTATGGGGGTCAAACAACTGCACAGAAGTGGATCACAGGAGTCTTTTTACTAGCACTGAAGCAGGACTCTGTTGCTTTGCCCATACTTGGATCCAAGTCTCAGTCCTTGGGTGGCAGTCCCAGGGTGAGGAGGAGCACTAGCATAGCAGAACTTGTGGCAGTAGTGGAGCAGGGACCTTCCTCACAGTTTCAGGGCAGAAAAAAGTGCTCGTGGTCACTCACTGACCAGAGCACAGGCCAGAAGAGGAGTAAACACTTCTCCTTAAATCATACCACCTTGGAAGAACTGAAAACTTACAGGTATCTCTGAAAATACTGCACAAAACCCCTGAAGCTTGGGACAGTGTGCCCTCCACACTGGAAGCAGAGACCTACTTTAACAAAGAGTTAAAAGTCATGTAATAGGCTGGGAAAATGAGCAAACAATGGGGAAAAAGCTGACTATTGAAAGCTCCTATGGTGAGAAGGAAGATCAAAACACACTCAGAAGAAGACAACAAAGTCAAAGCTCCCATATCTAAAGCCTCCAAAAAAAATATGAATTGGTTTCCACAAAAATGATCTTGAAAATCAAGTAAGAGAGGTAGAGGAAAAATTAGGAAAAGAAATGAGAATGATGCAAGAAAACAATGAAAAATGAGTCAACAGTTTGCTAAAGGAGACCTAAAAAAAATACTGAATTAAATAACACCCTAAAAACCAGATTAGGCCAAATGGCAAAAAACATCTAAAAAGCCAATGAGAAGAAGAATGCCTTAAAAAGCAGAATTGGTCAAATGGAAAAAGAGATCCAAAAACTCACTGAAGAAGGTAATTCCTTAAAAAATGAAAATGGAGCAAATGGAAGCTAATGACTTTATGAGAAATCAAGAAATAATAAAACAAAAACAAAAGAATGAGAAAAATAGAAGACAATGTGAAATACCTCATTGGAAAAGCAACTGATCTGAAAATAGACCCAGGAGAAATAATTTAAAAATTTTTGGACTAACTGAAAGCCATGATCAAAAAAAGGCTAGACATTATCTTCAATAAAGTATCAAGGAGAACTGCCTTGATAGTCTAGGACCAGAGCATAAAATAGAAATTGAAAGAATTCACTGATCACTGTCTGAAAGAGATCTTAAAATGAAAACTCCCAGAAACGTTATAACTAAATTCCAGAGTTCCCAGGTCAAGAAGAAAATATTGCAAGCAGCCAGAAAAATGAAAACAAAACAATTTAAGTATCAGGGAGCCACAGTCAGGATAACACAAGATTTAGCAGCTTCTACATTAAAGGATCAGAGGGTTTAGAATATGATATTCCAGAGGGCACAGGAGTAAGGATTACAACTAAGAATCACCTAGGCAGCACAACTGCGTATAATCCTTCAGGGGAAGAAATGAACATTAAATGAGATAGAGGACTTTCAAGCATGCTTGATGAAAAGACCAGCCCTGAATACAAAATTTGACTTGCAAATACAAGACTGAAGAGAAGCATAAAAATAAACAGGAAATGGAAATCATAAGGGACTTAATAATTTTAAACTGTTTACATTCCCACATGGGAAGATAATATTTGTAACTCATAAAACTTTTCTCATTATTAGGGTAATTAAAAGGAGTATATATAGACAGGAGGCACAGGTGTGAGTTGAATATGAAGGGATGATATCTAAAAAATAAAATTAAGGGGTGAGAGAGGAATGTACTGAGAGAAACAGAAAGGGAGAGGTAGAATGGGGTAAATTATCTCACATTAAAGAGGCAAGAAAAAGCTTTTACAGTGGAGGGGAAGAGGAGGGAGGTGAGGAAGAGTGAGTGAACCTTACTTTCATCAGAATTGGCTCAAAAGGGAGTAATATATTCACATAATTGGATATAGAAATCTATTTTACTTTACAGTAAAGTAGGAGGAGAAGGGGATAAGAGAAGGGGGTATGATACAAAGGACAGCAGATTGGGGGGAGGGAGTAGTCAGAAATAAAACACTTTTGAGGAGAGACAGTGAAAAGAGAGAATAGAATAAATGGGGTGGGGGAGTAGAATAGCGGGAAATACAGTTGGCTATAGTAATTGTGAAAAAAACTTTGAAGCAAGTTTCTCTGATAAAGGGCTCATTTCTCAAACATATAGAGAACTGAGTCAAATTTATAAAAAAAAAAGAGTCATTCCCCAATTGATAAATCAACAAAAGATAGGATCAGTTTTCAGATGAAGTAATCAAAGCTATCGATAGTCATATGAAAAAATACTCTAATTCATTATTGATTGCAGAAATGCAAATTTATAATTTAGATTGATAGATTATTAGGGATCAGGTAATAATATGTTAACTATCCCATGAAAAGATATTTTAGTAAGAAAGGAAGGTACATGTCAGCTGTGTAAGAGGTTGGGATGTTGGGCTTTAGTTAGACAAATCACATGAGTAACAGACCAAGTATAAATACTACCAACTACTTAGAATAACTTATGCCAAGAGAATGCCAATCTTTGTGCAAAGAATTGTCTCTTACCAGTTTGTCTTGATTTACCTTATCATCTGGCTGATAATCTGCAATAGTTCCTCTAACATAATGCACGAGAGAATCTATCAATCCTTCACATCTTCTCATCACTTTCCTTCCATCAGGTCCAGCAGAACTCATATTTCTGTTAAATAAGAAGTAAAATCACAAGTAATCCATTATGAGTGAAATGAGACTTTTTCACTTAAATCTCTTTCCTGTGTTTCTTCAACCCATCAATCAACAACTAATTATCAAGCACTGGACATTATACTAAGGACTGGGTATACAAAGACAAAAGCAAAATCCATCCTTGCCTTTAAGGTGCTCATATCTTATGAGGTGAGACAATATGTATATATAAAAATATTTGCAAAATAAATGCAAGATAATTATGAGGAAAGGTTTCATGTGGAAGGTGACACTTGAGCTGAGTCTTGAAAGATACCAAGGATTCTAAGAGGCAGAAGTGACAGGAAAGTTCATTCCAGGAAAAGGAGACAGTGCAAAGGCAAGGTGATTAGAAAAAGAGTGTCATGTGTGAACACCAAATTGGTTAGACTATCTATCTTACTTTACAGTAAAGTAGGAGGAGAAGGGGATAAGAGAAGGGGATATGACAGAAAGGAGAGAATTATGTAATGAGGCTGGAAAGGTTTGTAGGTTAGGACCAGGTTGTGACTTTTAGTTCCAGACAGAGGAGGTTATATTTTATCTTAGAGATAATAAGAATCCAATGGAGTTTACTGAGTAGAGAAGTGACCTCTACTTACTAGCTGTGTGACCCTGGACAAGTCACTTAACCCCAATTGCCTAAAAAAAAAAAAGAAAGTAGAGAAGTGACCTCATTAGATCTATATTTCAAGAAAATCATGGTGGTAGTGAAGTAGAAGATAGATTGGAGTGGAGAAAGACTTGAGGCAGAGAAATCAATGAGAAGGTATTGCAGCAGTTCGGGAGAATTGTCCTGAAGTCTTAAACTATAGTGGTGGTAAATGGAGAGAAGGAGTTCAATTTCAGAAATACTGGGGAGGTAGAAACAGAAAGATTTATCAACTGACTGAACTTGTGGGATGAGTAAGAGTAAGAAATTAAGGATGCCTATGAGATTAAGAACCTGGGTGACCAGAAGAACTAGTGATACCTTTGACGGTTTCAGATGTAGAGTTTGAAATGCCTATGGGATAGTCAATTGTATCTTCCCAAGAAGCAGTTGCTGATTTAGGGCTGAGATACAGAAGAGAATGGAGTTAGATATCTAGAATTGAGTCATCTATGAACCCTTGAAACTTGGTTTCTATTTCAGTAATTAAAATCCTCAGTTCTGGAAACAACAGCTTCTGTGAACTACTACTTTAAAGTATAACAGCTTTGAATATCCTTTATCTATTTTATTCAAAGGAGCATCATTAGATACTATTTTCAATTCTTGTGAGAAGGTAGGAGGTAATGATTATTCCAAAATGGTAAATGGCAAGGGGCACATGGGTTAGTGGAAAGAGCATCAGATTGGATACCAGAAACTTAGGTTCTAGTCCTTATTCTGATCTGATAGGAGTATGATATTGGTCAAGATACTTGACCTTATAGATCATGGGGTTTATATCTAGAACTGATTGGGACCTTAGAGGCCATCTGATCTACCCCTTCATTTTATGCATTAGGAAACTGGGGTTTAGGAAGATTAAATGACTTACCTATGGTAACACAAGAAATGCTCCATGAGAATTAGCTTGATGTAATTGATAGTATTGGACTTGAAGTTGAGTTCTAATTCTTCCCAAGATACTTATAGTTGTGAAACTTTGGGCAAGTTACAACGTCTGTGAACTTCACTTAATAGAAATTCTATGACAATTGGATATATTGTATTGCCACATTGAGTAGAGAAGTTAACTCATTAGATCTGTGTTTTAAGATTCTTAAGATCTGTAACTTGTAGATAAATAATAGTTCCTACCTCACAGGATAGTTTTGAGCATCAAATGAGATAATGTATGTAAAGCATTTTTGTAACCTTAAAGCACAATGTACATATTGGCTATTATTCTCTCATAACCTTGGTTTCTTCATCTGTAAAATAAGGGAACTGGACTTAACAAATATTTAGGCCTCTTCCAGCTCTAAAATTCCAGGTTAACCTACTGTATTGCCTCAGGGCTATCATTCTGAACATCAGTTCTCATCAAATAATTCTGTAAATGTGACTCATTTGAAAAATCCATCTCTAAGCCTCAACTGCCTCAACCTTTGGTGGAGACGAGGGTAGAAATTTGTCTTGCTATCTTGTCCAGGCTGGAAGTGTAAAGTCTACTCTTGGGCTGTGTCTCAATAATCATAGACAAAGAAGCTTTTACTTACTCCTTTTTTTTCCTGACCTGGTCTGATTTGTCCCTCCTTAGGCCGTATGGTGGCTCTCTACTTCCAGGGGCTCACCGTATTTGTGCCAGACTTAGTCCAGACACCTAGCCCTACTGAAGCTCAGAATTCCCAAAGTTAAGTGATCTACCACCCTCAGCCTTTCCTAGTAGCAGGAAGTAGCATAAGCATGCATTTACCCTATGTATTGTTCATAGAAAGTAGTACCATGCATTACTAGGAATGCAGTGCTATATTAGGAACCATAGGTGACGTAAGAACAAGATATGGTTCCTACCATAAAAGACTTTGCAATCTAGCTGAGGAAATAAGACTAATATATGAGAAAAAATTACAGCAGTGTTTCCCATTTAGTGATTCATAAACCCAAAGCAGTGATGGCCCAAGGGGTTCATGCTAAAAATTTAATGGCACTGTAAGTAGTAAATAATAGCCCAATAGTGTTACAGATACATTTTCCCCCTCTGACAACAAGCATGTATGAAGTATTATAGGTTTGTTTCTGCAGTGATCATGTGCACAATAATTTTGGCATTCAAGCAGTGATTACATTAGACTCTGACCACTTATTGCACTGTGTGCAATGTGTCCTTTCATTTTCTCAATCTGTCATTGGAGTGTTTCCAAACTAATAGAAGGGTTTGATATTCAAGGGCAAATGGATGGCAAATAAATGTCCACACCCTCATTTGTGTTACATATACTATTACTAGAATAGCTTGCTAGTTCCCCTGTAGTCATACCTCATCATCTGTGTAATCACATGATCAATATAACACAAATAATTGCATTCTTCTGGCACAAATGTCAGACTGTTTGAAAATCATGATTGTTGGGCATGCACATTATAAGCTATCTTGAAAACATGGACCATTACAAACATTGTGCAGAAACAAACCTTATCTTGCCTCTTGTTTCAGTGTAGAGCCTGTTTTCCAATTTAAATTTATTCTCCTCTTATGTTAGTATGCTTCTATCTGGCAGATTTTCAAATGGACTGGTTGGCAATACTAATTAGTTTAGTAGACTTTCTGTGAAACTTTAGCTCATGTGTCAGTGGTAGCAGAGAAGAAAGTCACATCTAGAGAAATTCTTCACTTATAAAGGATAGCTTACATATAAACACTATAAAAATGAAGCAGTACATACAATTTAGCTTTAAGTACATTTAACATAGTACTTATCATTTGCCAGTAGAAAAGCAAATATTTTATGTTATAACTAGCTATTCCTTTTCATTAATTAATTAGGTAGCTAAAAATTTTTTTTAATGAATTTCCATCTCTGAATAGGAGAGTTTATAAAATTTTCCTACCATTTTCCACCACATACTTGTGTGAGTTAGCATTTTTGCTTTATTCTTGTTTTAAATAAAAATTCAGAAATAAACTTATCTGAACCAGATTTGAGGATGCGTTTGGTGTCAAGCCAAATATTTTGAACCTTTCTTCAAATAAAAAAAGTCCAACATGGGGCTTAAGTATATATAGGATTATTATGTTATATTAAACATCTTCCAAGTAGTAACTTATTTCATTTAAAATCTCATTTATATTCAACAAAATTTATAAAATTAAGAAATATAATATGGAATCTTTCAGAAAATAAGCAAAATAAGTACATGAAGTCTTGCTAGATTACTTCTTTAATGCTGAAAGAATATCCCATATAAAACATTCATGATTGTTTTATTATTTTTTATGTGTGTGTGTGTGCATGTGATAAATTTCAGACTTGTAACCACAATTATTTAACACATTTTAATTTGGAGTTTTGGGGGCAAAATATTTCATCACCAAATCTAAAAGAATATTTTGAGTTGTATATTAAATTACTCTGATGGTTCACACACATTTTGTTGTTGTTGTTGAAAAGGGTTTATGGGACAAAAAGTGTTGAGAGCCACTGAATTAGAGTTATAGACACTGAATTATAGACTATAAATCAGAATGTATATTAGAATTTTTATTATTTGACTGATAGAAGATTCCTTTGCTATCATTTGGCTCTTTCTTCTAAAACTGAATTGCATACTGGTTAACTGGTGTGTGTACATGTGTGTGTGTGTGTGTGTGTGCACGTGTGTGTATGTGTAAATATATATGTATATTTACACACATATGTACGTATGTATGTATAGGCTAGAAAGTGGTTCTCATTTTTTTTAACAGACTAGAAACACTATAAAAATCTACAAAACCCTAAATTTTACAGGTTTATTTAGAGAAATGATGCTCTCCACTTTTGTCTTTCCTTTCCACATTCTTTCTAACCAACTCTGTTAGAATGAAAAAACTTATAATGCTGGAAAGAACTTTGGAAGGTATTTTCTAGTTCAACCCCCTAATTGTACAGATGAAAGAACTGATGCTCAGAAATGTTCAAAATAACTTGCCCAAGGTCATACAGCAATTTTTGCTCTAAGTATATCTAATTGATTTCACAGACATTCCTGAATGGTGGGTCACAAAATTAATTAATTAATTAAAATTAGTAATGTTTCACAGTGCCCTTTCCACCTTTTCTTCTTCTTTCTTCCATCAATTACCTTTGAGAAGTGCTTTGGCAAATTGGATTTCTTGATATGTTAAATTTTGTGGAATGTTTATATTGGGACTTATGTAGCATTTCACTTGGGCATTCCAGTTAACTGATATGCATTTGTCCTAACAGGTGCCTTGCAATTTAGTATTAAGTAGATTTTATCCACTTGAAATGAGGCTATTATAAAGTTTTTTATAGTTAATTTTGTTGACAGCAGTACAT